AGTAGCATGGAATCTTGATAGACCTTCTAGTGTTTGGCGGTGCTGTGACAGTGTCATTCTAGTGACATGCTTACTTTTGTTAGCAGCAAATACTGCCACCCCTTACTTTTCGTGAGCCCCTAAACTAACGCTTGATCCGAAAGTGCTCTCGTTTGCGTTCCATTTTGCAGGGAGTTGATCGACTGCACAAAAATTAGGAAGCGCTTTCAAATTATCGTTGCTTTCCGTGCCGTGGTGTCTTTTTGAACTGTTTTTATTATTATATTAAAGTGCAATTGATGGGAGCGCTGAACCCCATGGTTTAATTTTTTCGCATTTGTTCCTTTTGATGTTTCTTGTAATAAAAAAAACGAGGTTTCAGATCAAGTCAGCTTGGTGTGGCTTCCAGGACGTGAACATCTTCGACAGTGCCCCAGTAATCGGCGAACATCCTCTTTATAAGAATCTCTATATGATGTGTGGATTTAGTGGCAGGTAGGCCTCCGTCTTTTTTGTTTGATTTCTGTTTGCGTAGTGGTGGAGCACCTGTTTTGAAGAAGTGACTGCTACTGTTTGTGTGCTAGCCTTTTTTGTCACTTTCATGACATGACATGCTTGTGTTGTGTTATAACCGTCCCTCTTCATAGTTTTTCTAGTGTCGAAATCTTGAGTGGGCCACTTTTTTGTCGCACACTTCAGCTTCAGTAGTTCCGTCACTTCACTGCGTTTTAGTAGGACTCACGCCAAACCTTGATAATTTCTCATAAAATAGAAAAGTAGAAACAGGCGACTCTAGGACTAGGTTGATATCATGTTCACCGAGATGCTTTAGCACGTTTTCATAAGTGGTTGTAATACGCTCTTGGTTGGGTAGTTAAACCCTCCACTTGATGTGATCAGCCTCGAAAAGATAAGCGCAAGTAGTGAATGAATTTGGTTGGTCCTTCCCCTTGCTCAGCGGACCGACATCGGTGTGAACACAATTTATGGGCGAGGACTCGTTTAAAGGCAGCGACTGCGATGGTTTTGTGTGAATTTAATGCAAAATAAATGAGGTGAAATGGTACCATATGGACCCACCACGAAGTGGTCAGAAGTCCTAACTATAGGGACGCTCTCTGTCCATTGATTTCATGCCCAGTTATCTTGTTACCTTTAAATAAAGATGCCACAACATTTGAGAAAGGATGTTTGTACAAGTCCCTCAACATCTGTGGGGATTTAGTCTTTCAGTCTTGGATTTTTATTTTGAACCGCCTTTAAACGTTTTTTTACATTGGTTTTGAAAGTATTTGGTGTAGTGCTAATCTCGTCTTCAGCGAAAGTCCTTCATTGCAGGGGTGCGATGCACGCACTGGCAACCGGACGAGCTTTCTCCGAACGATTATATGATGGAGCATATGTGTTGTGATGTGATGTGTTAATCTATCGAAAATGTGATAGCTACGTATTGTTAGATGGATAGGCTCTCAGAAATGTTTTAGCGCTTAAAGAGCAACAAGCTGGTATCAGTTGGAGGGGGTAACAGTGTATTCGATAATAAAATTGTGGATGCTAAGTTGACCAAAAATGAAACAGAGCAAGGCCAACCGTCGGCGAAGCCTTTGAATAAGGATCCCTCTCAGGCGTTTTGAAATGAAAGAGGGGCGTGTCAGACGAGTTGTCTGAACTTGCTTGCTCCATGGCTCCACTAACCCGCACATATATTTGAATTAGCCGCTACGTTGTGATCCACGTTGCGTGTCATGGGGTGTGCGCGAGGTAACTCGTCCATTAGCTCATATTAACCCTCATTAGCCCACTTTGTAAGGCTCTAGTGCCATTGTCGAGCCGTGACAACGGCGCGACTTTCATTTTCGCGGGCCACTCTATCCGACCTGAAAAATGGCCTGTTTGACACGACCCATCTGGGTTTGTTGCTTTAAGCTCAAAGTTGAGAAATGAAGAAGAGTTATAGTATAGTGTTTCTAGAGCTTAGAACAATCCTGTTGATGTTGCTATTTTTGCTGTTGATCATGCTGTTGTTACGAGGTGTACAGTTAGAATTATCAATTCATTAGCTGGTTACTTTTTGTCATTGCGCAATACATGACTGATTTGAACTTCATATATTCTCAGGTTTGTAAACTGAAGCTGATATCAAGTTCATGTTGTGCAAAATCATCGATCTATAAATATTTATTATAAATGTTCTTGCGCTCTAAATTTTCTAAGCTGGAAGTGTCGTTTTGTTGCCCATCGTCATAAGCGTCGCCCATGTTGATCTATCCAGGACATTTTCTTGGCCCTGACCTCAGTGAGGTCCTTCTTGATGACGTCTCTCCACCTCTTCTTTGGGGCTCCTCGCGGTCGCTTGCCTTGCTTCGAAGTCCATCGCTGTTCTTATCGGATGATCCTGTGGCCTCCTTAGCACATGCCCATACCATCGCAGACGCTGTTCCCGTACCTTCAGCTGGACAGGGGCAGTCTGCATGACCGCTCTGACATCCTCGTTTCTGACCCTGTCCAGTCGCGTCCAGCCGCAGGCCCACCTCATCTCAGCGGAGTGAAGCTGCCTTTCGTGGTTCTTGTTCAGGGGCCAGCACTCGCTGCCGTATAGCATCGCAGGCCTTACCACTGTCCGGTACACCTTTCCCTTTGAGCGTTCTGGAGCACCTTCGATCGCAGAGGATTCCAGTGGACTCCCATTTCATGCCGCGTTGATTCGTGCCTTCACTGCCTGATCCACACTACCGTCGGCTGCCAGATCGCTCCCGAGGTATCGGAAGTCCTCCACTCTTCCGATGCTCGTTCTCCATCGGCTCTGCACCCTCTTCGGAGCTCAGGAACTTGGTCTTCTTGACATTAAGCCGGAGCTCCGCCTTCTCCTGCCATTGCTGCACCTTGGCCTGTAGTTCCTTCTCTGCTATCCGCTATCAGGGCGATGTCGTCGTCAGCGTAGAGGATGGTCTTAGTGGTCCTTCCATGAGCCCCTTCACCATGGACATCTAGTGTTAGGAGGAAGAGGAACGGGCTCAGAGCTGACCCTTGGTGCACCCCAACCGTGATGTCCACCTCCTTCGTTAGGCCGTGTGGGGTGCGTATAGCTGCTCCTTCGTACATGTCCTTCACCAGAGAGATCAGGTGTTCTGGCACGTTTCCGTTCCCTGAGCGCTCTCCATAGTACTGCTCGCGGTAGCCGGTCGAACGCCTTCTCCAGGTCGAGGAAGGCTAGGTAGCAGGGTCGGGTTTTAGTAGTGCACTCCATTCTCTTCCCACCTGCTCTTGACTTCAGCTGGCTTCCTTCAGGATGGTGCCGTCGCTGTTCTTCACACTTCACCACCCTGATGTCCCGGATGCCGGAGCTTTAGCCAGCCTGAAGACGAACTTCTCTGCATTTCGGCTCTCCAGCTTCTCGTACAAGGCGTCCATAACTGTGTTCATTAGCCTTAGCGACGGCAGCCTTGGCAAGCCTCTTGCAACTTTTGCAGGCAGCGAGGTCC